TTCTCATTCCTGCAAGAGTCTTCCAGAAATGCATTGAGTCATTTTGGAAGCATTTTCATTTCASTCAAAAGTAGTCAGTTTGAGTGATGTCTGCTGTGCCCCAGACTCTGCTTGTGGCTCTTTGATTGCATGTTCTGCAAATGAATGATACTGTTGATAATGGTACCTTGCTTGCAATGCCTCAGAGGCAGAGTGAGGTTTGCATTAAAGGAGGTTTGGTGTGAGATTTAATCTGCCAGACCACAYCATATGCTGCTTTCCTCTTTAGATTCTGCCTCTATATAATTTTTTTCTAATGCTGTTTGATTGAATTGTAAAGATACAGATTTGTTATTAACAGATAGGTCTGGGCTGAAAACCCTCTTACTGGTAAACTTGTAATTTTATACCTTCTTTCTTCTGGATGTCTTAATAAACACCAAGTGACCAGCAGTCTGGACATCACCTAGTATCCTTTTTCAATTTCACCAGCAGAATTCATTGCTTATAACTTCAAAACCTGTAGGGCCAATGAACTGTCATTACCATTTGGTTGCTTTTTATCTTTCTAAGTTTTGTGGCCTTGACTATTTTATATGAAGGTTATGGGAAACCTCTACTACTGATATAAATAAATATATGTACAGGTCTTCTTTTATTTTTTCTGGTTCAGTACATTTGCCAACATTTTGCCTTAGGATTTTCTGCCATGGGATTTCCTGCCATGTGATACAAATGAGCTTCACAATGACACTGYGGCTTTGACAGCACTTAAAGAAATTAGTTGAGGAATAGAAGCAGAGACACTCACAATCTACTTGCAAATGATCTGTGAATAGGGGAAGCAGTGAAATCATCAAACAAATTATCTACAATGAATTATTCAAATTATTATTTGAAGTCTAAGTTGGAAAATATATTACAGATTTCACAAAGGCTTTTTTCCCAGTATTCATCCTAATCAGCAGTTTACATGCATATACCTCTTCATGGAGAAGCAAAGAGCTGCAGCCTGCAAATACTTCATTCTTAACTAGAATCTTCTTGCCTACCCCACCTTTCCTACCCCAGTTAGAAATGTAGAAGTTTTTTCTAGTTATTCATGTATTTTGCTGACCTACTCATGCCTGGGGCACAGGAGAAGTCAGGAGGCCATGTGGCAGTGCAAAAAGGAGCAGCATTGCCCCTGAGCTGAGTCTGTCCTTTCTTGAGTTGGATATACACAAGCCCAAAGCTGGGATCTGAAAATAGTTCATACTWGTACACCTTTGACCTTGTTCTTATTCCTGTAAAGAGGTGCACGTATGCTGGAAATCATGGATGCCAGAGGAAATCTTAAGAATCTTCCTGACATCCTTGATGTCAAAGTCAGGTTCTGTTTTGTATCTGCACTGCCTCTCAACACTCCTTATAAGGAGCATAGTTACTTAGGATTGTATTCCTGATAAGTAACTATTCCCTACAATTATTTCATTTTCTTGGCAGCAGTATTTGTGAGTCTTGAGGGTTTTTTTTTGTTTGTTTGTTTTTTTTTTTTTTGAACAAAATCTGGAACCCATCTTTTTTGGCATCTTATCTGGCAACTGTGTTTCTTAGAGGTTGATTTCAACTTCTAGTGCTTTTGTTATTCTTGTATTTAGTCTCAGAGTTTTTTGTTAGTTTGTTTGTTTCAGTCTATTTCATAGGGAACTTAGCTTTTCTCATTCCTTTAAACTTTATGGACTGTGTAATAGTTCCTTCAAGCTAGACTGGCTGTAGGAATGCTGAATGATTAATGCTAGTGGAATATGTGTCTTCCACACATAGTAGAACAGTGTATCAAAGGAGATTTATATTGCCTCTATGCTTTGTGTATTTTTTAGATTTGGACTAGCACTACAGCTGTGAGCACCAGGAGTCGAGGAAGGGTGGTCTGTCCCTGATCCACACCTCCTCTTTCAGTGGTCGGTAGGCTAACTCAAGCAGGCAAAGGGCAATGCTCRCTGGTTATAGCCCTATATTTTCCCAGGGCCTGTCCTGTGTCCGCTACAGGCAGTAGGGACACTTCAGCATTAATTTCCTGGCTCCTGGCTATGAGATCTTGGTGCAAAAGCGAGACCCACAGTGGTTCCCAGCTGGGCAGAAAGCCCAGGTTTCCTCTGTGTGGAAACCAGGTCAACTTGCTTTTGTGCTGAAAAAGGGTCAATATATCACTGGGAAGTGTTCCCAGCTTCTGCAGTGCAGAGAGAGCCTGTGAGTCTTTCCATTAAATTCAACAGTGTTGTGAGTAGGCTGAAGAGATGTAAAATTTAGGGCTTTTTGCAGAAAACTCCATCTTTGACCCTTTTCTCTTGCTGCACGTTCTCTCTCAGCTGCTTTAATCTTCAAGAAGTTAGAGAAAACCATACTGTTAACTCAGTCAGGATTCCTCCCAGGGCATTTGGTAATATTTTTTCCTTTTCCTTTTTCACTTATTTCATTTCCATACAATGTATCTTATCTGACCAGACAACATATTGGGGAAGGCGGTCTTCTTTGAGCTTGATGCTACCATGAATTGGGACTGTGGAACTCTCAGGAAGGAGTGCCCACCTGGAAGAGGATACTGTCTCCTACTTAGAGCATATTTAATGGGCCTCTTGTGTTTTAGATCTTGTTTGAAATAACTTTGTTCTCATTAAGTCTTTATTTGATATTTCTAAACTCTCTCTTCCAAAGGTTTCAAATGTTCTGGAGCACATCAAGTGCAGTAGTGATGTCTTCTAACAGCTGTGGTAAAGCTATTACCTTTTGATGTCTCTTTGGTACTGAGGAATGAGCCAGAGGGACAAAAATATGATTGAGGGCTGCAGAGAAGGGAAAATGAGACCTTGAGCCTTGCTTCTATTTTCTGAAAAGTTATTTGGTATTTTATTCAAGCAACATGAAAAGCATGATGTCATTTGCCCTGTGTCAGGTGCCATAAAATGTTACCCTCTCCCAACAATCTAGGGCTTARACTATGATAATAAGTTCCACAATTTGGTTATTTCCATTACTGTTATGACAGTACACTGAATGTGAAGGACCTTAGGTGTTACATTAGTCACTGTAATGAGCTGAAAGACACATGGTGATTTAATAGTATGTGATTAGGTTGTCTATAGGYAGGGTGTAGGAGATCGAAGCCGGTTACAAGAACTGATTCAATATGAGTTTATCACCTTGCCCGTTTATTGCAGATTCCAGCACACTTTTATGCAGTAAGCCCACGCCCCTGATCTGTCATCAGTCCAATGAGGATTTGACATGTTCTCKTCTTATCCCTRTCTTGCCASYGTCTCTGGGGCTGGCATCCAATCCTTTGTAAGTTTACCTATAAGGTCCCGGATACAATAYCTTTTATGCCTAAAAGCAAGTGCGCCACAGCTACTGTCCAATCAGCTTCATGGTCACGCAGCAGCCGGACAGCTGCCTTTGTTTTTAGTCCGCTGACAGAACAAGTACACTGTTGGCCTTGAAGTTAGTTATCTACTAACAAGGTATCCTGCCTGCTAATAGACACTGTACGACCGTCCTTGCACTGGGCCCCTACATCTCCCCCCTTTTGTTTAACTATTACATTGCTATACTTGCTCTTGTTCGAGCAGTCTTAATTAAATGATCAATCAATCATTGAATATATACTAAGAAGCAAGGAAGATACACTAACAATAAACACAATAGAGTTACTATAATAATTAGAGAGCTAAGCAAAAGATTGTTTAGGTTCTTGTGTCTACTCCCATGGTTTCTYGGTTATCAGTCCTCACTTGTTGAAACATGGCCTACTCAGGGTTAATAGACTGGCCACTTCAGCATCTTCTCCCACATATCGCACTAGCAGTACTTGCTTCAGAGCGCATTTAACAACCAATTGCATTAACTTTAACAAGCATGGAACACAAAGCATGACCCCCAAAAAGATTAAGAATAACATTACAGCAAGAACCATCAGTCTTTATAGCCAAGGGTCTCTCTTGGCTGTCAGGGTATCCACAATATCACTATTTCTTTGGCAATGAGGGCATCGAGGATGTTGCAGCAGGCAACGCTGTCCAGACCCACTGTGCTGGAACCCTTCGTGGTCCTTGATCTTTTCATGAGTGGTAACGCCAAAGTGTCTTTGCACTGGGAGTACGTTGTCTGTTTCTCGATTTAAAAGGTTAGGTTTTGTAACCGTTCTTGAGGGGAGTATCCCTTGCTCCCCCTTTTTTGTTTTTGTAGCATGGTTTTCAGGGTGCCATGGGCACACTCAACAATGGCTTGGCCCATTATCTGTTTTAACCTGGGTAGGTACCCCTAGCATGGTAGTTTCAATCATTCCACGTAGTAGCGCAATTATACAAGGAATACAACATATGATACAAATTAATACTATAAACAAGAAAAACAGTTCTAGTAACAGCCCCTGTAATCAAGGCCATCCCCATTTGCATTGTGCAAATGGATCCCAGTTGTCATCARTCTGTTGTTAAGCTTCATCTTCAGGATCCAAGTCTGTTCATTTTTCAGCAGTCTCACAAGATTACTTATAAAAGRTAGGGGGATCCTCAACCTTAACTTGCACAGCTTGATAGTTTTACAACAGATCTAAACACTGCATGCTTTACTCCATGTAATATTAACTGCTGATRTTGTTTAATCATCAACTTACGCACCCTCATATTTGATCCCAGTCTCATCAAGCCAAACAAAATTGAGACACCTTCTTTTTGTCCTCCATAATCATTCAAATCAGTTACCAAAAATCACATTTCCTTCTAACATCTTCAAATCAGATACCAGAAATTTACATTTCTTTCTTGTGTCATGGTCATTTCTCAGAAAAAAAAAMCCAATGAATTTACATATGGGATTTCATCCCACTTATCCACTTATTCTGCCTCCTGCAAAACATCATTTAAAAGGAGAGCAGGCAACCTTGCTTAGTTGTCCATTGGTCAGTTCATTTCTCGGTGCTCCCCCCTTGCATCCCTCTCTGCTTGGCTCGCTTCCTCAATGGACTTCTTGTTTTTCTCTCCTCAAGGCCACCTTAGAGACAGAGCTATGTGCTTTGTTAAACATGCCTTTTCTAAACGTGCTGTTAAACAAGGTATGGGCTCTGTTAACCTTCTYGTATGGCTGGTTCAGTGTACCCACTCAGAGTTTCCTCTAAGTACATTCCTACAATTCCCCCTTTTTCTTCTTGAACCAGTCATACCCTCCTCAGAGCACCCTCAATCCTTTTTAACACAATTCTTAACCCACAAGACATCATTATAATCATAGTTACAAGAGTGATCAGAATCATTAGCTCTTGTGTGAACAAATCTAAAAATCACCCTGTTATGCCCAAGCCTTTTAGCCATTTATCAATTCCCAATTCCATAGTCGTTAGTTTCCTCATGTTATTCCTCAGCCTTTGTAATTTTCTTTTGGGATTGGTTCAAAATGATCAAACAAGTTCACACAACATATTCCCTCAAAATCTTCACACCCATTCTCTTGCCCTAAAAGCAAAACTCAATAGCAATGTGATTCTGTAGCGTAGCATGCCTTATACTATCTACATCTGTAAGCATCTGAGTTATAGTAGCAGAGGTTAAATTTAATTGTTTATCTATCCAGCAAGCAAGCTTGATCACATCCCTTAGTGCTTTTTTGGCTGCTACTCTGGGTGCAGGCAATGAAGCTAAAGCTCTGGTTCACACATTCCAGAAGGCCAATTAATCGTTACAGGTATTGTCTGGTATCCTTCTCTTAGCCCTTGATTGGGTACAGTTGCACACCATCATATTTAGCAGATCTCTCATTGATGACATAAGCATAGTTAGCTTGCTGAGGCAGCAAGGTTCCCTGACAGATCTTTGTGGAATTCTTTGCCAGCAGGATAGYGAGACCGATCATTCCCCCCATGGACGAGAGGTGGCTGACAGGCTCCAAGCTTGTGGGCGACAACGTAGGTCTCAGTTGGAGTCTCTCCCCATCTCAGATCCACAGTTGTTTTATATCTGGCATGTCCTGTCACGTAGGGCCCATACGTGTCAGGAGGCAACCAGAGGGCAGGCAAAGCTCCACCTTTATCATTATGCAACTTTCCCTGGTGTGCGCATACATGGCCACCAGTGAGGGTCTCTGGTCTCGTTACAAGAGTCCTACCTTTATTACCTTCCTCTCCCTTGCTTCGTGTTTGACCTCCRAGCTAGCTTACAGGTCTGCTCCTCTAGCATTGCAAAGGCAGCTAGAAAGTGGCATCAGGCATCACGCGTATGACTGCAAATATGTAATATAAAATAGTATCTGGTGCAAAGTGTAAGCACTCTGGTGAAGGAAGGCGTGAGACAACSATGCCTGCTGTAATACGTCTGGAAGGGTGGCCACCTCGGTGAGGCTGTCCGCATGCTGATTTCCTTCCATCAGAGGACCAGGCAACACTGTAGGAGACTTGATATGTCTTATAAAGTAAGGAGCATGATCATGCTTCAAGGAATATAAAGGTTTGTTGAGAAAAGCGTAACGCCAAGGATCAGCTACATCCTTCAAGCAGCCTCGTTCTTGTCGGTTGATCAGGCCTGCAACTTACGCTAACAGAAACAATATTAATTACGTGTGAAAACATACGAAAACAGTGAACCGCCATCGCGAGTTCCACAGTTTGCCAAGTGCCCATAAACTCAAACGTCCCGCCACCACCCCGCCTTGGGACCACTCAGCTGCTGCCAGCGGACTAGCCTTAGAGTAAAATAGCTGGGTGGTTTTTGCTCTGTGTGGGAAGGTAGGGGGGAGAACGGGTGGGAGTGGGGGAAAGGGAGGAGGGGAAGCAGCTGCATTAACGACCTTGCTGCCGCTTCCACTACTTCCCTGCGCCAGGGAGGAGGAGGAGGCGTCTCTTCTTCATGGCTGTGGGAGGCATGCAGAGGAGACGATGAAGGAGCCACTCCGCTGGCTTCTGGCCCTGGGCTCCTGCCCCTTCCCCTGCGCTGCACTTCCATTCCACTAGGAGAATCATATRTTGCATGGGGATTGGTATCATTTTTGCAATTAGCTCCCAGTTCTGTGGCACAAACCCGTGGGACTTTGTTATGTTCTGCAGTAAGTTCATGGTAAAAGGAGCTATCAGACCATTCGCTAACACTGGCTTTTGGAGTTCCTTTATGATGTTGTATTCTAAAGGCTGATATTGCAGAGCCTGATTACACGAATACGTGACTGGGAAAGCAGATAGCACTTCTACATCCCGCGCTTTCCTGGCTTCTCTGCATACCTCAGTGCACCAGTCGTGTGGATCGGGTGGAAACAGCTGTGGCTCTTGTTCAGGGTCCACATGTTCTGGATCTGGGGGATTGTCAGGCAGATCCACACAAGCCACAGCACATTCCGCACTTTGATCCATACCTTGATCTGGATCAGGTAGGGCAGTAAGCGCATACTCGCACCCATATACCGCAAAATGTGCCCCTGGGGGAGCCCCTGGCAAGGCATCCTCCCCTATCGGAATGAYGACAGAACCTTGTCCCGTGGTGGGAGGGGGGACAGTTGCTGGCACCACAACATCTGAAGTTCCTACGTACTTTCTTAATACTTCATAACACATTCTTCATGGGCACATCATTGAGGCAGCATTTAAATCACCTTGCGTTCCTTTATCCCAGATAACTACCCCTAATRCATCCCACACAGATGAATCGTAAATCGTTGTTTCACTTAACCCATTACAGTTTTCTATACATTTTAAAAGACTTAACAAATTACGCTCCTGAATTTCTTCCTTTTCTCCCTGCTCCTCATCATCCGTGGTAGGCAACAGAGGATATAAGCCAGGCAATGGTTGGTACGGCAGTAGAAACAACCCTCCACTGGGCTGTTTATCCTGTCCAGTCCTGGCAAGCTGACATGCCTTCTCCATTTCGCTTCTCCCCCTCTGATCTTGCTCGGTCGCCCTAAGTGTGGCACCCAGTTCTTGGCACCACTCAAACACGGCTTCCTTAGCAATCTCAGTGACAGTCTTTCTCATTTTTGAGGTGATCCTTTTCTGTGTCGGGCCTGGAGTGTCCGAGAAAACACGAGTCCCTTCACCCGAATCTTCCAATCCCAGCATTTCCGTAGCTGCCAAGGCCATCTTCTTTTCTGCTATCATCTGCCRTAAATGGTTCACGACCTCCTTCCAGGTGGCACCCAGCTCCTTAGCTGTTTTACTACCACCTATGGTGGCCTCCCATAGGGAGTCCCCGACTTCCTTCCATTCGGTTACACTAAATAAGGAAGTGGGGTCCAAAAAATGGCCTTCCTCCTTGGCCCATTTTATTAACTCAGAGAGTTTTACACTGCTGACACTTGCATCCCTTTTGGATAATATCTGTGTCCGCAGCTGTATTGCCGCCTCCTGTTCCATGATTAATACGGGTCCCCGATCCCTGAATAAGTCAGGTTAAGACAGTCTTCCGCAGGAAGGTAGCATCCTACCTTCGGACRGTGTACCTGTTGCACCCCCTGTCCCGGCGTGCCTATGCACTCACCGCTGCAATGTCGATCTCCCCGATCTCCACTCACCGCTCGCYGCGATGCTTTGAGATCCCCTGTCCTGTTGACCCGGGTTCTGGCCCCGCAGTTCTTCCCTGCCATTTTGACCCGGTCCCTGTTCGGGCACCAGATGTAGGAGATCGAAGCCGGTTACAAGAACTGATTCAATATGAGTTTATCACCTTGCCCGTTTATTGCAGATTCCAGCACACTTTTATGCAGTAAGCCCACGCCCCTGATCTGTCATCAGTCCAATGAGGATTTGACATGTTCTCKTCTTATCCCTRTCTTGCCASYGTCTCTGGGGCTGGCATCCAATCCTTTGTAAGTTTACCTATAAGGTCCCGGATACAATACCWTTTATGCCTAAAAGCAAGTGCGCCACAGCTACTGTCCAATCAGCTTCATGGTCACGCAGCAGCCGGACAGCTGCCTTTGTTTTTAGTCCGCTGACAGAACAAGTACACTGTTGGCCTTGAAGTTAGTTATCTACTAACAAGGYATCCTGCCTGCTAATAGACACTGTACGACCGTCCTTGCACTGGGCCCCTACAGTAGGGTATGATCAAAATGCTCTCATGATGGAAGCTAGAGATAAGCAGACATTAAGATTGAAGCTTAGGCTAAATCTTCCATTGGTGCAAAACGGTGATACAAAAAGGTATGGAAGCCTTTAATGTTTTATGGCAGTTATGGCAGCCAAAGATCAAGCCTTGGGTATTATTTGGGGAGAGGATCCTTTTGGGTTATTTCTTTYGTGTAGTTAGAACATTTGGTCAAATAAACCCCCCACATTTCTCCGTTAGTAGAAAAAAAAATAAGAAGGAATATGTCAACTGATKATTGTATTTTCTGTGTTTTCAATCTATGTCAATCATTTCTTCACATAACTTAAAGCACTTGTTTTCTCGAGCCTGTGCACTTGCCAAGACAGTTTTGACAGCTGCCTATCTATACTGACCTACAAGAGCATCCGCTCTTTCTCTGTGTCTCTCGGTCACATTTTGGACTAGTACATCTTCRCTTGCCATCCTAAGTTTCCCTTATAGGCACTGAAGAGAAGGAGGCACAGGAATGAGGTGATTCACCCAAGTYGTGCTAGATGTCTCTTCTAGGAGATGAGTATGGGGTTGTCTATTTCGCCCAGTATGTAAGGCTGGTCTGCATAAATGTCAACACAAGCTTTTTATTTGTACTTATTAAATTATTGTCTTTGACCACAGTCATCTGGTATCCAGCAAGGACAAAAACTGCTGATGTCTGATGTCCTGTCAGCTCATCTCCTTGGTACATGTGGTGCTAAAGAATTGATACAACTTAACAGATAGAGTGCCTCAAGTGTAGAGTGTCAGGATTTTTTATTTGCAGAGGAACATTGCATCTGTATTTCAAATCATAGGGGAGGCCAGTTTTGAAGTATTGGAACCTTCTAGGAAGGGAATTGCATTTCCCCAGCTTTAGGTCTTCTAGACTGGCTCTGTCTTGCATAATTGTTTTGTCCAGATATACTTACTCCACCTCTGTCATATCRATGGAGATACCATCACTGATATAATTCAAAATATAGAAATGGACAGCTGAGATGCCACCAAGAACAATAACCTGAAACGCAAGATGAAGACRGCCAGTCCATACCTGCTACCTAAATCAGGGAAAGACTAGTCATAGTAAATGCCATGGGGAAGATTTTGGGAACTGTTTCTCATGGAGAATAGCTAGTTGTCTCCACTCTATCCATGCCATGTGTTGGAAAAGTGCTTTCTACAAGCGAGCCAGGAAGTGCTGTGGCTACTGCACTGAGCATGAGCAGTGGGAGCATGAGCACGACAGACAGTAAAAACTCATTAGCCTCCGGCTTAGCAATAGAATAAACAAAGTGGATAAAGCCTTCTTGTCTGTGAAGTAATTACTCTGGTTGTCACCCTTGGGAGGGCCAAGTCTCTCTCTGTTAGCTGTGACTTCACTCTGTTTCACAACAGCCAAGGTTTCAGCTGGCCATTTCTCTGCATAACAGGGACAGTTCTGGGTAGCCTAGGGAAAAATATTACCAGTAATTTGTGCCTTCAGCATTCAGGAGTCCATTCCTCAGACCTGGCAACCTCCATCCTTATCTCCACTCAGTACGGCATCATATCATTGATATGATGACATATCAAGACAAGATTCTCCAATGTCCTCCCAAGAAGGGCTGAAATGGCACTTTTGCAAGGGCAAGGACAAGAGGGATTTGTATGCTGCCTGAACACTGACAATCAACAGAAAATGTTCAGGCTGGCAGTGGGACAGGTAGGAAATGCCTAGACTTATGGGATCTCAGAACACAGGCATAACTGATGTATTGTGCAATGCATAGTGTTACAAGGATACTAACTCAATCTAACTGTAACACTAAAGCTCTCCTTTATGAGCACAAGGAAGATAACATGACAAAGACAAAAAGAGTAATGCAAAAATGGGAATAGAACAAAGGAGCACTGCAGCAGCATAAAAAGCATAAAGATGTGCCCAGGAAACATGACAGACAAAGAAAGAAACAGGAGACTTCACTGAAGTTATGGCTGGATTGAGATGAGGACTCTGCCGTGCGTCTCAGGATGGCTAGCGTTATAATGCCTTAGTCCATATAAAGCTGGACTGTAATTACAAACTGATTCTGTGTTTTGCACCTCTTAGCCAAGTTAGACATCATTTCCAGTCCTAGAGAAGAAAACTTACACCTTGAGGAACAGGCTTAGGATAAGGAGAAGTCCTACCTTTATGACTGCTCTGTTTTCCCCCACATCTCCATTTTGTCCCCATTAAATTTTGTAGGTTTTTTTGTTTGTTTGTTTGTTTGCTTTCCCCAGGCACCAAACTATCATTCATTCAAAATATTCACATAATGAAGTCACTTAAGCTTGGGGAACTTTTTTCAAACTGAAGAAGTTAAATGGACATTGAATATGGTGCCTAGGCTATGTTTGTTAGTTCTTTTACCTAATTCTATGAAAATAATTGTTTCAAATGAGTTCTGATACCTCTCATGCCTTGTTACATCCCTGTTCAAACCCTCCTCATCTGATACTAGTGGAGTCCAAGCTACACTAAAAAAAACAATCTAACTCCAAGGCAAAGGAAGCCTTATTTCAAGATYGTACCAATGTAGTTCTATTGTTTGACCAGTGGGAGGCCCTTAGAGATCATCAAGCTGTCACAGCTACAGCATTTTAAAATAATAATTAGGATTCATAAAGTGCGCTTTATCCTCAGATCTCAAAGCTCTTGAGAGAGTTGAAGGAATGTCTCCGGTGCCAATTTTACAGACTAGAGATGTAGATAACAAATTTTGTTTGTAGGCAACAAATAATTTGAGATGCTACAAAGTACAAAGAATTATTTAAAAATACATAAAAAAGAATGAATGAAGGTGGAACTTCCCTTCCCTCACAAATAATAATAATGTCATGTTCATATGTTCATATATGAACTTTTATAATTACTTTTTTAAACACTTGGCTTGTCCCAACAGTTGCTTAAGGAAATTTATTTTAACAGCAACTTTTTATTTATCCTCATTCACATAGTTACACTGCAGAAAAATAAGTTGTGTTTAATCTTGTTCCTTCCTGGCTCCAGACAACCAAATATTCAATAAAAGCATTTTGTCCTTCCCCTTTGAAGAGCTACTTCAAACACTAGGCTGTTCTCGTAATGTTCTGGATTTCTCTCTCCCTTTTCAATTTGTTTTATTAACATATGTTTGAAACAGAGAAACTCCTTGTTTAAGACAGTCCCCCTAGCAGCTGTGATTTAACCTGAAAATGTCTCTGCAGCCTTTTCAGCCAATTTAGTTGCTAGTAAAAAATGGAAAACCTGCTGAGAATTTTCCTCTTTTGTAGATGGGCCAAACTTTGTTCTCAGCTGCATCCAAGAAACCTTACCATGATGTTATTGGCTGCACATAGAGCTAGAAATGGGAGAACTCCCAATATTGTGTTGAAAAGAAGAAACAGGTCAGAGCCTCACCCCGCAGCCATCTTTTGGCTGTGTTCACTGATTTTATCTTGAGTCTTGGGGGAAAGCAACTGTGGGCTGGTTGTCTCAGTATTTTTCTCCCTGCCCAGTCAGAAGCAAAAGCAAAGTCACCTGCAAGACAGAAAGCAGTTTAGCATACGCACCCTGAAACAAGTCTTGAGACATATTGAGAATGAGAGAAGCCCTCCTGAGCGAAGGTTCCACTTGGTGATTCTAGGACATTTTCCAGGCTTACCAAGAACTGCGTGAACTAAATATAAGCCTTATCTTTGTAGACTTTAAATACTGGATTTTTTGCTGAACTTATAGGTTAAAAGTGTACATGTAGTGAAAAATTTTGGTTTTTTGGCAAAAACAAGAGAAAAAAAMCCAATAATCCGTTGGTTATTTTAAAGGGAACAGGGCAACATTGCATGTAATCAGTTGGTTATTTAAGGGGGATTAGGGCAACATTGCTTGTTTCTTTGAGACAGGCAGTAGGTGATTAGGGAAAAAAAGGCTGATAAAAGACTTGTTATGGCATGATTCTGGCATGGTACTAGCAGATGGATAGGTTGATACTCTGAGAGTGTGCGGAGGAGCTGGAAGCTGGCTAAGGCTGGGAAGCTTGCTCTGAATTAGAATGGTCCATTAATTCTTTAGAAGCAGCATGAGATTAATATAGGACATGGTCCAGATAACACACATTCATGTATGCATGTATGTGGCCATCCAAGGCCTTCTGGAAATCTGACCATGGGAACTCCAAATGGCAATGCTAAGCTTTTGCATCATCTGCACGCTTTCCAGATGCTATAAAGTGTTAGAAAGCAGAACATTCGTGGCTTCCCAGATGGAATGTGCTAAAGAATAAAGTACTATTATGA